CTGTGTACTTTTCATCCTTTTTAACGCCATCTAAGCCTGAGGCCATCCTGTGGCAGGGAATTTTGTAGGACCTTGCTTTGACAATCCCATCAGTACCACTAGACACTCCCTTGACAGGGGCACCAACACGTTCATGTCTTTTGGTGTGGACTGGACTTGAAACCAGAAACAGTGAGATAACCACATTCCATATATGCCAGGTGCAGCTCAAAAATGTTTCTCTTCTGGAGGGAGGACTCTAAAGGGATTGTGTGCAACCCACCCCCACCCCAGTATTTCCCACAACACCTGCTGCTGCTTCCTATCTTAGTCGCAGCATATTCAGTTCCTATATAGCATGAACTAAAACTAACATGGAGGTGGTTTTTAGGTTAAGCCTTGCAAAAGTAATCCCGAAACAGATTCCAGATTCCAAAATGCTTCTCATCCCACCCTGCTTGGACCAGTTTTTCACTCAAGTGAGAGGTCTGTGTGTGAACACAAGGCCAGCCTGGCCTGGGGCTGTGTTTTGATCCTTCCCTGCAATCAAACCTGCCCTTGTGCTGTTGTAGCCACCCTGGGAAGCGATATGATGGATAAACACATCCAGAACGAGAGGTTTACACTCCACTGTTCATTTCAAAACCAAAAACCAAATCAGTGTCTTTCCAGTGCAATCCTGGTACCAGTCTGTAAACTGTGTAAGCTGGCGACTAAGTCCTGTGCCCACACAATAGGTGATGCGGTGGTGCTACTCAAGGGATCCAGTGGCAGACTGCCTTTAAAAAAAACACCTTTTATTTTAATGTTTTTCCAGAAAAGCTCCAAATAGCAAGTACATAATGTATTACCAAATATGTGAATGTATTACATAAAACAAGAAGGTTGTGCATAAATGCTACAAGTGGCTATTTGACAATTTATTCAATAAAGAAAATACGCTTCCTATATATTTGTTTCTATCTGCTTTCTTATGCTGGTGGATAGACCAAGTGGTAATACTTTAAGCAACAAAATAGGCATACAATTAAAACCAGGGCTATTTTTGGGCAGGAGAATGCACAAGAACGGAGTCCCGGCTGGCTCCCAAGTTGGCCACACCCAGCAGGAACTCATTAGCATAATAGGCCACATCCAACAGCAGAAACTCATTAGGATTGGCTACATTAGGGGTGTGTGGCCTAACATGCAAAGGAGTTCCTGCTCCAAAAAAAAGCCCTGGGTTTTGACAACAAACAAGGTAAACAGAATAAGAAGCAAAAGGTGGGTGTGGCTGGATGACCATACTTCTGCAAACATGGGGTGTAGTCTAATATGCTAATGAGCTGTGCTGTCAGGGGTGTGGCCTAATATGCTAAAGAGTTCCTGCTGTTGGGTATGGCCTATTATGCTAATGAGTTCCTGCTGGACTTTTTCTACAAAAAAGCCCTGATTAAAACAATGCTAGAAAACTGTAGTTGTTTGGGATTGCTCTGTCCGGGTTATTTCTATTGGTCACATAATCCAGAAAGGGAAGCCATTGTTCTAGAAAATTAGATTGATATAGTACAGGGGTGTCAAATTCATTTGTTACAAGGGCCAGATCCCAGGGCCGGTGCCAGGTTTTTTTGCACACTAGGCGAGGCTACCTTCTGAAGCCCCCCCACCCCCGTGTGCCCACCAGTTTTCAAACATAAATGCATTTTAGGAAGAATGAAAAACACAACATTTGAAATTGCTAATTTCAAAAAGCAGCGCAGTGCAGAAGTTAGGGCCGACCAACCGAGCACAGGGAATTACTTTCGTCAAGGTGGGTACCCGAGTTAGTCTGTCTCAACAGAAGAAAAGAACAAGAGTCCAGTAGGCGAGGAAGAAGGCGACGCTCCTCAGCTTCTGCGGCAAGACCGTGTTTGATGTCGCATGATCCCTGGTTGCCCCAAATGACGTCTGCACGACAACCTGGAAGGTCGTCACGGACCAGCTGAAAGCCCACTTCTCGCCTCAACCGTCCCAGATTGCTTGCCGGCATGCTTTTTACATGTCCCCACGCCTCCATGTGCAGCTGCTGGGTGGCCTTGGGTCAGTCACAAGTTATTTCAGAGCTGCTCTCTCAGCCCCACCCACCTCGCAGGGTGTCTGTTGTGGGGACAGGAAGGGAAGGAGGTTGTAAGCCGCTCTGAGACTCCAAGTGAAGTATTCATCCTCTTCTTCTTGGAGGACTCTTGGAGGTTTGGGGTTGGAGCCTGGGGAGGACAGGAACCTCAGTGGGATACAATGCCATAAAGTTGACCCTTCAAAGCATCCATTCTCTCCAGGAGAATTGATCAGGAGAGGAACTGTAATTCCAGGGGATCCCCAGGCCCCACTTGGAGGCTGGCATCCCTGTGCTGTGGTCTTTTGTGCAGTTGTCATGTTCTGAACTCCTTAGGCCTTTCTTGTCTCTGCTGAGAAGGCACAGGGTACCTGGGTCCAGGGCTCAGGTGTTAGATCGCGCTAACAAAGGACTCGTACAGTGATTCAGCAAGTGATTCAGCTTTATTGGAAGTAACGAACAAGCACTAACTCAGTAAGAAACCAGAACAGAAAACAGTGGGAGCTTATGCTCCTTTTAAACATAACCGGGCTAATGTAGCCACGCCTATTTACAAATAACAACCAATGAGATTGCTAGGATAAAGACCAATGGGAGTCTTTCCCTCCTAGGGAATGGTATCGTTCTGATTGGTCGCTGTTACGAAGCGACCAATAGGAAGTTCGCTCAGAGGAGCCCTGGTCTGGCTTGAAGCTTAACATGGGAGTCCTATGAGGTGATTCATGTAATCATTTCAATACATTACATCAGGACTGCACTCTTCGTTGACTCAAGTCCTAAGCAATGCTCCCTCTAAGCTGTGGAGTCTTGTGAGCAAAAATTCTACTTTGCGAGCTCCTGGCATTAATGAGGAAGCAATTTGGCTGCTGCATAAATTAGTTTGCTCTGGAGCCATCCGTCCTGAGCAAAGGCAAAGCAGTGTGAGCTGGAGGCTAAAAAACTGTGAGCTAGCTCACACTAACTTCAGCTTAGAGGGAACACTGGTCCTAAGGGGCATGAGAAAACTTCCAATCGGCTCTCCCTCCTCCCCCAAATTCAGGCCTCGCTGTGCTCTCCTCTTCCTTTAAGGCTACAGTCCCCAGCATGAACACCAAAGAGACTAGTTTGTTGGCAGGTGCTCACTGTTCCCAACCATCTGTGCTTTCCGATGCCACCCACCCTCCGTTTTTAAAACCCTTCGTCCCAATACAAATATCGGAACCTTTTAAAAATATAGAGGAGGGTTTGAACAAAGAAAATCCAGACTTCTCTCCAAATGCATTAATTATTGAACATCCCATTGTACTGACTCACTCTGTGTAATCCACCTTGACTCCCAGGAAGAAAGGTGACCTATAGATAAGGTTTTTAAAAAATTAAAAAATTGAGTCAAAGCTCCCTTCTTCAGAGCTCTGACTCTCGAAAGCTCCTACCTTGAGACTCTTGGTGGTCTCTCAGTTGCTCCTGAACTCAAATCTAACTGTTCCACTGTGGATCAGAATGGCTCCCCTCTGACTGTCTTCATTACAATAATTATCACTATTTCTGAAGCAGGAAATAAAAATAAATTCAAAAAGTTAAAATGAATTGCAATAAAGATACTATAAAGTACTGAGACTGATGCATGGAGGAGTGATTTCAGTTCATATTTTATTCTATACAGGAGAACTTGAGATGCTGTTGCCGGGCCAGAGGCCAGTTTATATCCTCGTGGTAAACCACACCCAACACAGACACCCACACCCAATGTTCCCTCTAAGCTGTGGAGTCTCGTGAGCAAAAATTCTACTTTGTGAGCTACTGGCATTCAAGTTGTGAGCGAGCCATTTGGCTCCTGCATTAATTAGTTTGCTCTGGAGCCCTCCTTCCTGAGCTGAGACAAAAATGTGTGAGCTGGAGAATAAAAAACTGTGAGCTAGCTCACTCTAACTCAGCTTAGAGGGAACACTGGCCACACCCCGTGAAATGATATTTTTGTATTTGACTTGTTTCTGTGTACAGTTTTTGGTTAGTATGTTTGTCTTTATGTAGTTAATTTTGAGACCTGCTACTTGTTCGTATTCTTGCATTGTTTTTATAAGATGAGGAATGGATATTATTGGATCTTCCAGTATAAAAACCAAATCATCGGCAAAGGCTTGTAATTTGAATCCTTCTCCTTTCATCTTGAGGCCTTTTACCTGTTCATTTCCTCCTTTTAAATCATTCAGTGTTTCTAGAGGAAATATAAATAATGCCCAGAGTTAAATGTCCAGAGTTAAACTCTGATGGCCTTAAAGGGGCCCCTCTGGACTCTTAGACTTTGCTCTATGGTAGAAATAATGAGGGGTTTTTTTTAGGGATGGCTTTTAGATAAGACATGTAAATGTTCCCTCTAAGCTGTGGAGTCTTGTGAGCAAAAATTCTACTTTGCGAGCTGCTGGCATTAAAGTTGTGAGCAGGCAATTTGGCTCCTGCATAAATCAGTTTGCTCTGGAGCCCTCCTTCCTGAGCTGAGACAAAAATGTGTGAGCTGGAGGCTGAAAAACTGTGAGCTAGCTCACACCAACTCAGCTTAGAGGGAACACTGCATGATGTAACACATATAAATAATGTGAAAACTGAGAGAGAAGAAAATAATTACATTAAGTTGCTGCTGTCAAGACTGGACCCCCCCCCTCGCGCCCCCCCCCCCCTTT